ACTGACAGCTAACTAATGCTAACATAGCCATAAACATGGCTGAAGGAGTAGCTTCCACTCCTTGCTTTTCTGCTATTTGCTGGGCCTCAGTTGTTAGCTTCTTCAACTGACCCCATGTTGGCACCTCGGCCCTTAGTGTGGCCTCTGTTTTCTTTTGCTTCTTCTTTGCTGTCATCGGGGCAACTCTCTCAATCTCTTGAACGGAGGGACAAGGAGCTTCTCTGGGTCCATTGTGGTGTCGCACGTACCGTTCTGGCACCCAAATTGGCTGCACTGCTCCTTCTGGAAAGACACAAACACAACCTCTTCTCCCCCTTTTTGTTTTAGTAATTGCTTTTTAACACATTGCGTCCTGCATAGAAATCTCTAAGACATACACCAGGGACCGGACGTTTCTGGGCAAACTGCACGTTACTTAAATCATCATAACTACAGATCATAACGCACTTTAGGTGTTGTTTTTCAATAATTATTTTTATTTACAAAAACAAACAATTAAAGTTCCTAGTACTTTTTTAACGTATGGTACTGCGTAAAACATTTTCCTCTATGAAGAGGGACCAAACAAAATATACATAAGTATCTAGATTCGCTCCTTTTTCCATGGGCGGCACAAACTCTGCAGGCTCTCGTAGGAAATTTTTTCTTTCCACTCGCTGGAATATACGTAGGTTCATGCTGCTTCATATCACCTGACAACCTTTTGGGTGGATCTTTACGAGGTGCTCTCCTTGCACCCCCAGGGGAAGGGCTGGACAGATTTGTCTCTGGTTCCGGAGAGCCTTCATTATTGTCATCCGTTATCCAGCCTCTCGCCACCGATAGCAGAAACTGTTTATACTTCATTTTTGCTTGTGGATTGAGGACGTTGTACACTCTAAATGAATTGAAAAGTCCACAGTTTATAAGGTACAGCACTACTTTTTTTGTCCATTTCATCGTTTCCCTTAGAATGGAACAACACGAAAGGAATTGATCCGCATGGTCAACGCCTTTCATGTGGGCATTGTATTCCTTGATGCAGGTAGGTTTTACAATATTCTCTCCCGTTTTTCTATTTTTTTTCCCCTGTTGTCGAGACAGAAGTGTCATGGATCATTGATATCATTCGGACAACCCGCTTGTCTTTCCATGCTAGGAGAAGAATATCGCCTTTTCTGGAAAATATTATGTCACCTTTCTTCATTCTTGATGTTTTCATTTTCAAATTTGGCAGTAAACCTCTACTCTCCCTAATATTCTCACAGACTCTAGTTTTGTTCTGTAGCAGCAATTTAGCAGTAGGTGTAGCATTGTAATAATTACCCTGGTAAATATGGTGCCATATGCCAAGATAGGGTCCAAGGACTGAAAGAACAGTTTCTTGCAATTTCCTTCCTTCAGCAGTGTATATCTCCATATTGCAGATATAGCCGGTGTCACTCTCGCACACCATCCGAACAAGAAAACCGTATTTTGTTATTTTCGCTGGTTTGTACGTGCAAAATTTTAAACGTCGTCTCCGTGGAATCATTCCCTCGTCCAAAGACAACTGTTGCTTTGGTTTGTATATTGTTCGAAATTTATGCAGGAAATAATCCAGCACAGGTTGGATCTTGAAGTCTCCCCGAGTGACTGTCCATTTTGGCATTATCATTGAAATGCCAGAATGTCCATATTTGCTCAAATCTATGGCGACTCACTGTCTGTGGGAATACAGGAGTACATATCAAAGGATCTGTTGACCAATAGTCTTTCCAGCTATCTTTTCTTGTTTGACCCATCAGAATAATTAGGCCAAGGAATTTCTTGATGTCCTTCTGTGTAACCGGAGACCACTTTAATGTTCTAGGTGGTGTTTTGCGTTTCATTGCGGTTTGATCGTGATAGTTGGACAGCTCTTTGCACAACATCTCAAACAATTCATCACCAAAAAAGAGATTGGTCACAGAGGGTACAGAGTCACACTGAGACGGAAATGTAGTGACCCCTGCATGACCTTCAAACATTTGTAAGCGTGGTGGTGTGCCAATTTCAGACCAACAATTATCAGTAGCTTCGTCAGTGTCAGAATCACTTGAAAGCACCGCCACCTTGCGCTTCCTTACAGGTCTAATAATTTCACTGTCAGTAGAATCGTCTCCGGAATCGTCAAAACAGTCATCCGCATCTTTGATCTCACTAGGAATATCTGATAAATTATCGTTAAATACTTCCGGAAGTGTATCAGTTTCATTGATTTCCTTCCTTTTTCTGAGAGAGGGCATTTCTAAAAGCGCAAGGAACTTGAAGACGAGGACTATTCGAATGACCAAAATATAATGTAACTGCAATGCTTTATGGGTTCGTGCAATTATATAGTTTTTCGTAGATTGACCTGCACGGTTTCCACCAATGAGATCGCTTCATTCGATGTGGACTGTGCCATGCCAGCACGGCCAAGGGTGTCTCTGAGTGGGTGGGGGGTTGGTGGGGAGGGGTGAAAGGATTAAGGAAAGACAGACAAGAGAATGAAAGCTGGGTCTCGGTGGGACGCTGCTCCCTGAAGAGGAGACAACGCCAGCGCCCACAAGCTGTGTCTTTATTTTATAGCAGATGCCACGAGGCAAAGTAGGGGCATGATCACGTTGTTTACAGCATTCTCGTGAGCTCCATCCCTACTCAACTACATGCACCTGAACTCGAGCACAAGGCACGTGGGGCTACGTGTTTGGACCATAGGTTCAAGCTTACAACCACAGCCGTTGGCTATGATTGTGCTGGGAGGGCCCTGCCCTCCAGCTGGGACTTGCACGTGGCAAGGGGAGGACCCTGTCCTTTCATTAGTCCGAGGCTTGAACCTGGCCAAAACACCGTACCCGCGCCTCACAGTGTTTCAGGCCTCAGATGGAAGGAGGCCGGCACAGAAGACACTTTCTCCTTTATGGGAGGTGAAGACCCGAGGGGGAGTGATGAAGTTACAGAGTAGGAGGCATTGTGGGGTGATGTGTCGGGGCTGCTTGGTAGTCATGTAGTCAGAGCCTCAATTTCCTCATTTGTCAAGTGGGGGTGCTATGGGCTGTGGGAAAGGCTGGGCAGATGAAGATCTGTCAGACCCTCAGCAGGGCAGGTGCTTGTGTTGGTTTGGGTTCCCCAGAAGGGTTTGTGTGCAGGTAGCTGATTTGGGAGGTGATCTCAGGAGACTCTGGTAGTGGGAAGGGGAAAGGAAGGGAAAGAGACAGCCCATCAAGCAAATGATTCCAGGGCACCTGGGGCTCCGTCCCGCTCGGGTATTGTGGGAGCTGGTGTGGAGTTGTTCCCTGCCCCATGGGGTGAGGAAGTGGGGTTATTTATCCACGAACCTCTGGGAAGCCCCAGAGGTTGTGGGTGGTTGGACCCCGGAACCATGGCCATGGCTGTTTAGGGGAAGTGCTCCTGCTTGACTGGGGTGGGAGCTGCTCAGGATCGCACCGTCTGGGACAGGGGTCCCTTCTTCAGCTCTAGATGGGACCCAAGACCATAGGCTCTGTCCCATCTTCCAGGCTCCTCAGAAGTCCCCCAACAGATCCTTGTATGACTCCAGGGAACCAGCAGAGACCTACCCCAGACAAGATGGGGATCGACTTTCTTTTTTTTTTTTTTAGTTAATCCTCCCTAGAGGATATTTTTTCCATTGATTTTTAGGGAGAGTGGAATGAGAGAGGGAGGGGGAAGGGAAAGAGAGTGAGAGAAAGAGGGGGGGGAGAGGTGAGAGAGACATGCTGATTGGTTGCATTTGGTGTGCGGGCCAACACTCTAACCACTGAACCACACTGGTCAGGCAGAGATCAATTTTCTGGATCTCCCTTGCCGAGTGGGAGTTCACACCTATATTTAATATGATTTGGAAAAGAATGCCATGTGGTGTTTGGGGACACAGGCCACTAAGTGTGGCTGGGAGTCAGCGGTGCGTTGGGACTGCAGCCCCGGGCCTAGAGCTCAGCCCCTGCACAGTAAGTGCTCACTGGCCCTGGTATAAGCGCCTTGTGCAGGGTCTTATCCTGGCCCCGCTGGGTCCCTCTTGGCCTAGCCTGTGTCTTGTAGGTAGAAACTCTTTCTGGGCTGCCTCTCCAGGCTGTGAGCTGTTCTTATGCCTGTTTAGGCCCTGAAGTTGGGTAATGCCTTTTCCTGCAAGGCCCCTCGTGTGCTAGGAGGGGACTTTGTGTGCTCGGAGGGCTGGAGCCTGGAGAACAGGGGCCCTATTGTCTGCCCTGAACCTGATGCTGCAGGGATGTCAGGGAGACAATGGCAGTCCCGTTGCTGTCCAAGCAGGAAGGGCCTTCGGTGATAAGGCCCAACATCCTGGAGGGCAGGTAACAACAGTGACGATAACATCACCCGCAGGTGACATTGTTTGAGCACCTCCCACGTGTCTGGAACCATTCTCTCTCATTTCACCCTCACTAGAGCCTTCTAAGATTGGGACTATGGTTCTCCCATTTTATAGAGAAGAAAACTGAGGCCCATTGAGGGGAAGCCACCTTCCAGGGTCAACAACCATTGAGGGGGGCCAGCCAGAACTCAAAGCCTGCCTCTACAGTCACATTGTTCAGACAGCCGTCGGCCCACCACACTGCCAAGATCAACAAAGCATGCGACCCTGGCCGAGAGGTTGTCCCAGCAAGTGGAGGTCTTAGGGCCAACCCAGAAGGCAGGAGGGCACAACCAGCTTTCTTATTCCCGAAGCCCAGGGAGGCGGCCAAGACCCTGGCTGTTATCCACATGTGGTCTGATGTGGCCCGAAACATAGCTCAGAGGAGGCCCAGATTGGCTCAGAAGGGCCTGAACATGATCCAAATGTGGCTCGGATGTCCAGCCCCTTAGCCTGCCAAGGGCACAGTGACTCCTGGGACAAAGATACACTCCAGACTTCAAATGTCATAGACAACTATTTATTCATTGCAGAGAGGGAACCTACGGAGCTGGATGCCACTGGGAGCCAGCCTGCCCCAGGTGGCCACTGTCCAAGTCTTCACTGGAAGAGATGAGTGGGGTCCAGGGTTCTACGAGGAGTCTGAGGTGAACACAATGGCGTCCTGCAATTGGAGGAGAAAAGTCAACTGGGTTTTTTTTTTTTTTTTTAACCTCCTGCCTTGTGATTTACGCTGGCGTGTCCTCCTCAAGGTGACCACTGGCATTGAGGGTCATGATCCTGAACTCACTCAGACAGAATTCTTGGAAAGGACAGAAGAGTAGGGTCTGCCTGCAGAGTGTGGGATTGTATAGCATCGCTGTCCCTTGTCCCAGCTGATCACCAACACTTCCCCAAAAGTTTCCTCAAATGCGATTCCTGGTTGTACCCATTGGGCCTTAGGCAGCTAAATCTTTTTTTTTAAAATATATTTTTATTGATTTTTTTACAGAGAGGAAGGGAGAGGGAGAGAGAGTTAGAAACATCGATGAGAGAGAAACATCAATCAGCTGCCTCCTGCACACCTCCTACTGGGGATGTGCCCACAACTAAGGTACATGCCCTTGACTGGAATCGAACCTGGGACCCTTAAGTCCACAGGCCGATGCTCTATCCACTGAGCAAAACCAGTCAGGGCAAGGCAGCTAAATCTTTTTAAAAATCTTTATTGTTGAAACTATTACATATGTCCCCCCGTCCCCCATTTAGGCAGCTAAATATTTAACAAGGCTCTGGCTTTTTTTTTCTTTTTAACTAAGTGTGCTATGAAGAACTTAATCTATTAGATTTCCCCCAACATTTTATTTTGATCATTTTCAAACATACAGTAAAGTTGAAAGAATTTTATGTGAGCACTTATATACTCATGATCTAGATTCTCCCATTTAAAAAACTATACTTGCTTTATCTCACATCTAACCACTTATTCATTTGTTTGACTAGATTTTAAAATATATCCTGTATAATAAAAGGCTAATATGCAAATCAACCAAATGGCAGAATGACCGGTCGCTATGATGCGCACTGACCACCAGGGGGCAGACGCTCAATGCAAGAGCTGCCCCCTGGTGGTCAGTGTGCTCCCTCAGGGGGAGCGCCGCTCAGCCAGAAGCTGGGCTCACAGCTGGCGAGCGCAGTGGCCGTGGTGGTAGCCTCTCCTGCCTCCACGGCAGTCAGACATCCCCTGAGGGCTCCCAGACTACAAGAGGGTGCAGGCCGGGATGAGGGACCCTCCCCACTGAGTGCACAAATTTCGTGCACTGGGCCTCTAGTTATATTATAAAGCTATATAAAGGAAATAAATGTGCTGCTTAGTCCAAAATAAATGAACAGAGTAGAACAGAAAATTTGGAAACAGTTCCAAAGGATGAAATGATACTTTTCCAACTCAAACTGTAAATGATGAATTATGCGATGCAAGTTGCTTTAGAAAATAAAAAAGAGGAGCATTGCTAGATGTCCCCTAATAAGAGATATGTGAAATAAACCAAGCTTCAGCCATACAGTTGTATGGATACCCGTTGTCCATCTAACACCAACCAAGTGCACATATGTTTTAGATAAATGAACTACTTATATTTTACTCAGATCATTGTAATGTTGTCCATTAGTGCATGGCCTGTGTATTCAGACATCTGCTGAGTTTTGTGGATGAGGAAGCTGGGCTCAGAGAGGCCAGAGGACCTGCCTGAGGTCCCATGGCTGGAGAGAGGCAGAGCTGGGATCTGAACTTGTCCTCTGGTCCCTAAGTCTAGATTCTCAGCCTCTTTCAGTACCATCCACAGTACTGTTCTCATTATTCTCCACCAAAGCCAGCTAAAGGGTGGGCAGCTGATAATAAGTCAAATGTCTGCTTGCCTTGAGAGCTTGTTAACAAAGCCTCCTACCCTTCCCCCAAATTCGACTCTAGTGGAGTGGGGCATTTTTGAGACTTCCTTTCCTCTGGGGATTTCTCTGTAACTAAACAGCTTTCCCTGACCTGTGGATGTTTTTAATTGTTAATACTTCTGCTTTCAATGTCTCCCCCACTCCAGGGTGGACTAGAAACTCCAAGAAGGCAGGGGTTTCTGTCTTTTTTGTTCACAGTTGTGATCAGTGCCTGGCACATAGTAGGTGCTTAGTAAATGCCTGCTGGGCAGCTGATTAAGATGGATTCACCTCGCTGTCATTGGCTCATGTGGAGATTGGAGCCCAAAGCAGGGGGTTATCAGGGCAGGTGCAGAGTGCAGATCTCTACTCTGCCACCTACTGAGTGTGTGACCTTGGAAATGGACTTGCCATCTCTCACTCTCAGTTTCCCCATCTGTAAAATGGGGATGACAATAGGATGTACCTCATAGGGTAGTTGTGAAAACTGAGCAAGATACCCCAGTACCTGGCACAAAATGATTATGGACTGTTAACTATTATTAATGACAATATTTGGGGGAGGTGGATGCTGCTACAGCTCCTCTCCCTAACAGCTGCCAACAAGAGTCATACGTTCAGTCAGCACTTATTGAGCATCTACTGTGAAAGGCCTTACTGAATCAATGAACAAACGAAAGAATGGGTGGGAAAAGCTGGAGGTGTGTTGACCCCTGGCAAGGACAGTTGTATTCTTCCTCTTTCAGATGAGGAACTGAGGCCCTGAGAGAAGAAGCAACTTGCCCAAGGTCCCTCATGAGTGAGCAGCGGGGTCAGGATTGGCGCACAGCCCACACCTCCCAGCCCAGGGCTTTCCTAGTGACTATGCCCTCCTTGGGGCAGGATGTTTAACCCCACTCACCTTGGTCAGAAACGATGAAGCTTCGGTAAATCCCAAGGCCCTCACTATTGACAGTGGGATCCCGGCTCTTAATTTGCCTGAAATAACAAATATGGTTGGAGACTGGTGGTCCTGGGCAGCTGTGGGCAAGCTCACAATTCTCGGAGGCGGCACACCCCATGCAGACTGGCCCTGTTGCTTCTGCTCAGCTGTTCTCCTGCCCAGCATCCTTTTAGCCTCATCTCCTTAACCTTTGCCTCCATCCAGCACCGGCTCTGGCTGCTCCAAAGGGCACCCCTCGCATCCTCTCAGATTCCTGCTCAAGTACCAGGCCTCCCATCATCCACAGCACAAGTGTGGAAATTGAGATGTCTCATTCTAATAAAATAAAGGAATGAAAGAGGCGGGCTTGTCATAGGTTACCAACTTTCCCACCCCCATGACCTGAGGCTTAATTAGAGTAATTCCATCTTTTCTCTCGGCTTCCTCCACCATGAACACAAATAACAACGCCAACAACAACAATGGCTGAGAAATGTTGAGCACCAACTGGGCTAGGCAGCCCCCTCTGCCCCTTACAAACACCATCTTCTTTATGCTTCTGCGGAAGGTACTCTTATTTCCCCATTTTACAGATGGAGAAACTGAGGCTCAGAATAATAAGGCAGCTCATCTAAGGCCAGTCAGCCAGCAAGAGGGGAATTAAGACTCGGACCAGGTGTGTCTGAGGCACATCGAGTGTGCTCTTGTCTGTTTACACCTCGGTCTCCTGTTGTCATCCCCATGGGCATTGCCTGGCTCATCTTGCATGCCTAGGCTCTGCAACCAGTGAAGGAAGGTGGAGAGGGGAGAGCTCATTTCCAGATGGGTGACCGGAAAGGCTTCCTGGAGAAGTGGAATTTGAAGTAGGGTGGAAAATGGGTGAAAGGGGCCCCGAATGGAGACCCAGGCAGGAGAAGTAACGCACCCACCCTCAAAAGCCCTGGGAAGTGGGGGGATGGATAGCAAAGGAACGCACCATTCTGATTTGGCAGCAAGGCGGCGGCGAGGATATCAGTGGCGATGTCTTTCAGAATTTCAGGCTGTGAGAGAGAAGGGACATTGCTCCCTGGCTAAGAATCCCAAGTCCTCCCAGCCATTCCTAGAATGGGCACAGCCCAGCCCCATGGTGAGGACGGCTGGTGGAGATGCTGGAATCCCAAGTCCCTGCCAGCCAAAGTTGCTAGGGCTCCTGAGGGTGACACAAACCCAACTGGCCCTGGGGTCCCATAGTTGAGGGGGCTGGGGTGCATCAGAAGGATGTCCCCCCCCTCCACTCTCAAGGGCTCCAGCGGAATGTGCCTTTAGGAAATTAGCCTTGTGCTTCCTGAGGTTTTGACTTCTCAAGGGAAGCCAGAGTCCTGATTTTCATGTGGAAACCTCCCGTTTTAAAATATTAATACAAAAATTAAAAAACAAAATAAAAATATAAGGACAGCCCGGCTGGCATGGCTCCATGGTTGAGCATCAACCTATGAATTAGGAGGTCACAGTTCGATTCCTGGTCAGGGCATATGCCTGGGTTGCGGACTCAATACCTATTGTGGGGCCTGCAGGAGGCAGCTGATCAATGATTCTCATCATTCATGTTTCTATCTCTCTCCCTCTTCCTTCCTCTCTGAAATCAATAAAAATACGTTAAAAAACACATGTAAGGACAAAAAAACAACCAAAACAAAATACAAGAACAAACACACCAAGCCCCCAGAACCAACACCATCTCACAAGACAGGATTCAGCCAATTTCAGACTCTGATTTAGTCCGACTCAGATGAGGAAACTGAGGATCAGAGGGAAAGGGCTGCTCATGGTCATGAGATAAGCTTATGTGATTATGAATAGAAGAGATTTGTTTCTTAATTTTGGGTCAAAACTTCACAGGAAAGTGAATGTGCATCTGTGTGTCCGTATTTGTGTGTTCTCAGCTGTGTTTGGCATAAAGTAGGTAAATGCCTGAACCAGGAGGTTAGACTTTGTAGCTGATAACGTGGAGGCCGGCCAGCCCACTATGGGGCTGCCCACGGGGACCTGTTGAAAGCACATTCTGCAAAATGTCTCCATTTGAAATGGACCATTCTGGGGTATTCTGTGTCTGCAGGGACAATCCGTTAATACTCACGTCGAACAGGGCAATGTCTGAGTTCATCAAGTGGATCCGATCAGAACTGCAACAGATAATACCCATAAGAATGGACCCTCCAAGTCCTATTCATTCATTCATTCATTCATTCATTCATTCATTCATGCATTCATTTATTCATTCATTCATTCAACAGCTCTTTATTGAGCACCTACTATGCACCAGGCACAGTGTAGGCTCTGGAGATACAGCAGCGAACCAACTCAAATTCTTGCTTTATGGAGCTTACATTGTAATTGAGGGTGGTATGGGGAGACAGAACTGTCTGCCAGGTGTGGGCATGCTGTCAGCCCAGCCCTGGGAAAGCCACACAGAGGCATGTGCAGAGCCGGCTGCTTCTTCCTTTTCTTTCTTAATTGAGAGAAGCTGACCTCTGTTCTGAGAAGGGTCCTCATGGACATGCAAATGCCAGCCAAGCCTGCAGTGGCACCCTGGGATCCGTGTGCAGCAGGACCTTTGGTGGCAGGTGGTGGTGGGCTCTGTTTTGCACATCTGAGTGGCTAGGGCAGCAGGAGGGTGGTTGGGTGGGAGATCAGGCAGGGGTGCAGAATGCAGCTGGAGCCCCGTGCTTCTGGGCTGGGCTCTATGGGGGCTTCGCATCTAGGCATGACTGTCACTGCCTCTGTGTGGAGGTGTCCAGAATGGGCCGCCCACGGCCGAGGGGATGACGCTGGGCAGGCTCTTCCTGTGGCCAGGGTCAGCATGCCCATGGCTGCTGCAAGGCCACTTCCCTTTCCTGCTCTGCCTCTCACACTCAGTCCTCGACAGCGGGACAGTCCAGGTAAGGCAGCCTTTCTGCCTGCCCTGGAGTAGCCTTCACTGGATGCTCACACCCCAGAGACTCAAAACACTGTGTTTAAAGAAACCCAAACGGTCACCAGGTGGCACTCATTTTTATCACCAGATTCTTCACAATGAGTTACCTGATTTCATTTAAGTTGAGCATAAGCTGGGCACCTTTGGTAAAAAACTGAACTTCTGAGTTGGCTTCCTGCAATGAGAAACCCACATTTCTTTTAGAGGATGTGTCAAAGGTGGGGTGTGGGGTTCTGCAAGGGGCTCTGGGGTCAAGCTGACACTTGGATCTCAGCTATTGGTTCTGCGACCTTGGGAAAGGGTTTGACCTCTCCGGCCTCACTTTCCTCATCTATTAAATGGGATAGTACCTGTACCCACTCCCCACTGAACAGACAGCCACATAGGATTGCTGTGGGAAATGATGATGACAGCAGCCAATATGCATGGAGCCTTCACTGTGTGTCTGGCAGTTTTAAGAAGTTTATATGATTATCTCCTTTGATCCTCACAACCCTTTGAAGTGGCTTCTATTTTTACCTCATGAGGGACGAAGATCAATAACCTCCTGGTAATGTTAAGTATTATTATTATCAGAAAGGTCAGAAGCAAAGTCAGGTCTCAAATACAAGTGACAATGATATATATCAACTTGACCTGTGGGCGGGGTGAGCCTGAGGCAGAGTGCCAGGCTCCAGCTCCAGTGAGCTGCTCCCAGAGAACAAACTTGTCCTGCAGGCCTGGGCTTGGTGGCCTTCTGAAAAGTGCCTGCCATTGGCCATGGAGGGGCCAGGTCACCAGGGAAGCTCATTCCCACTGCTGGTTGGGAATCAGAATATCCTTCAATAGCCCTAGCCAGTTGCTCAATGGTTAGAATGTTGGCCCTTGGACTGAAGGGTCTCGGGTTTGATTCTGGTTAAGGCACGGGTTGCAGGTTCAATCCCCGACCCCGGTTGGTCGGGATGCGTGTGGGAGGCAACCAATCGATGTGTCTCTCTCACATTGGTGTTTCTCTCTCTCTGTTTCTCCCCCTCCCTTCCACTCTCTCTAAAAATCAATGGAAAAAATATCCCCAGGTGAGGATTAACAACAAGAACAAAAAGAATATCCTTCAATATAGGAAGCTAGGGCACTGGGTCTCCTGTAATCTTTTGTGAATGGCACCCCTGAAATTGTGTGTGGGCAACCCGTACAGCTGTCCACAGCAACTCTGCTATTAGGATAGTGTCAGCATTAGGATCCTTCTAACAACCAGGTACTGTCCAGGTTCCTTGGTTAGGCATGGTTCCAGCAGCCAAGCATAAATTCTGTGTTGTCTCTGTTCTCTCTGCCTCTGTAGTGGGTACAGTGAGTGCCCCAACTCAGAGCCCCTTTAAAGGGCGGGGCATCCGTCCCTCCCTGCCGAGTGCTGCAGCTAGCAGTCCCCAGACCCTTCGCTGCAGACATGCTCCCGCTTGAACAGAGCTGCCTTTCTGGGAGTCACGTCCTTCCTACCCATGGGCACTACTGGGTGGCCAGTAACTGACTGAAAAGGGGGTAAAGGCTTGACTGACTAATAAAGTCATACAGGGTTAAAGTCATCAGGGCCCCCAAAGCTCCTGATTCTTGGGGTCAGCGCTCCCTATACCCCGATCCTGCTGGGTGACAAGAAAGGTGGAAACGTTTAGCAAAGCAAGAGGGATGAATGTCACAGGCAATTAACTCACAATGCCCAGGGTGAAGAAGGGGCGGCGGACTTCATTGGAGGCGAATACTTCCAGCACGATCATTTGGGCCAGCTTGGCACTGCCCTTGTCCAGAAGGAGCGCTGGGGCCTCCTGGGTTAGGATCTTCACAATCTGTGTGCGCCCCAGCTGAGCCGCAGCCTGGAGGGACATCAGACCTGCATGTGGCCTCCCAAGCACCTCGCCGTGGCCCACAGGTCCCATGTGGCCTGGCCCGGGCCCAACTTCCCAGCCTCCCTGCTTCCTCTCCGTGCTCCAGCCACACTGTCCTCTCCGTCCTGGAATGGATTGCTCTCACCATCTCAGCCTTTGGTTTTGCTTCTCCCTCTGTCTGGAATCCCCTTCTCTCCAGGGAAGCCCTCCCTAGTTTTCCAGACTCTCTCAGTGCCCCATGAATGCTCTCATAACCCTTAGCATCTGTCCTCTTCGCTGACAGGTTATCTGTGTAATTATGTGATGCAGGTCAGCCTGTCCTGTTGGCCTGAGATCTTCGTGAGGACAGGGCTGGAAGGGAGGAGAGTGCTCTCACATAATTTTATTCCCCAGAGGCCCGAGGACAGACCCCAGCAAACACCCGTCAAGCTGCAGATGGCCAGTGGACCAACCTTTTCACTGATCACCTTGATGCTAGACTTCAGCCGGAGGGCCAGCTCAGGAAGCTGAGGATGAAAGGAAGCCAGAGCAGGTCAGCTGGAGGGGTGGGGGAGACATCCCTGCAGCAGCCCCACTGCTGAGACCCCCAGCACCCCAGAAAAGCTGGGTGGGCCTGGTGGGCCAGGCTACATATTTGTCACTTGCAAAAACAGCCCTCTGTTAGCTGCTGTGAGGCAGGGGATCCCCGCTGGCCTGGACTTTTACTGTGGGTTGGTGGTGGTTGTGGGTTTGCGGGCAGGTCACTGCTCCCAGAGCGCACAGAGAAGTGACCCAATCCTTACTGTCGTCCTGAATGTGGTTGCTGGTGACCACTCCTCTTTTCTCACCATCTCAGCCCCTTACTCTGAATTCTGATCCTCAAGAGCTTGGTTATCTGTTGTCTGTCAGCTTACTTTAAGTCCGGACACCCTCCCTTACTTTGGGGCAACACTTTTGCCCTGTAGGCCTCAGTTTCCCCATCAGTCACCTTGGAGGTGGTGGCACACCCTGGCTGACTAGGGTGTGCTGTTTTTTGTTGTTTTTTTTTTTGTTAATGATCCTTCCGCAGGTTCACCTACGGAAACCTTGTTACGACTTTTACTTCCTCTAGATAGTCAAGTTCGACCGTCTTCTCAGCGCTCCGCCAGGGCCGTGGGCCGACCCCGGCGGGGCCGATCCGAGGGCCTCACTAAACCATCCAATCGGTAGTAGCGACGGGCGGTGTGTACAAAGGGCAGGGACTTAATCAACGCAAGCTTATGACCCGCACTTACTGGGAATTCCTCGTTCATGGGGAATAATTGCAATCCCCGATCCCCATCACGAATGGGGTTCAACGGGTTACCCGCGCCTGCCGGCGTAGGGTAGGCACACGCTGAGCCAGTCAGTGTAGCGCGCGTGCAGCCCCGGACATCTAAGGGCATCACAGACCTGTTATTGCTCAATCTCGGGTGGCTGAACGCCACTTGTCCCTCTAAGAAGTTGGAGGGTGTGCTGTTTTGAGAAGCATTCCAAGGCTGTGTCAGCATCGAGGCTCGATAGGGAGGACCCTGATTGATTCGTCATGTCTGCCATGGGCTCCAGGGTGGACGGCAGCAGCCTAGTATCTAAGATGCCCTTCGGTTGGGAAGGACTGTTATTTGGTTAGAAGAAGAAGCAGGTGTGTCATGTTCTCAGAGGGAAGAACGAGGAGCAGGACTGGATGTTGCAGGGAAAGCTTCATCTTTAGAACGATATGTCAGAGGCAGAGACTGTCAGGGGAGGGAGGGAGCTCTCCATTACTAGAGGGGTTTAAACTAAGCGTGACAGGGGATTCGTGCCCTGGGGCCTCGGGGTCCTTGCATCCCCTTTGATTCAGAAAGTTCCCATGATTCAGTAGAGGTGGCTTTCTCCTCTGTCCCATGTCGAGGCTTACCACAGAGTCCAGCATGACCGCGAGTTCTTCTGAAGGGAGGAAGGCCTCTACTGCAGCGTTCATCACATCCTGCCTCACGGTGAGGCTGAAAGGGGCGTCGTCCAGAGTGGGAATTGTCAGGGAAGCCGCAGACTCACTGAACCTTTTGGTCTCCGTTCCCTGTGAGTCCAATAGCTTGGCCTAAGGAGACACAGAGCAGAGAGCTGGTATCAAAACTTTAACTCCACGCCTTACCCAACCACCACCTGGAAGGAAATAATGCCTCTCAACCTGCTTCCCTTTTTGCACTTGCTGTCAGGAAGCTCAGCCCAGAATCCAGTGCCTTGCTGTAGGTGAGGAGTAAGCTCAGGTGCCTAGCAATAGCTACCCCACCTGCACCCCTCAGATAACCTCTGATTTTTAAAAACTTTAAATGTCTTATTTGGAATTTAGGTTTCAACTTTTCAGATACCTCACAAGCCCTTTGGATGAAGGGAAAATTAAAAACTGCAAGAAAATTGATGGAAATGCTTGATGCTGCAGTTTTCCAAGGGATCCATGAAAACTGGTCTGGGATACAAGCTGGGCCCTGAGGGAGTCGAGCTCCAGGGTGTATGCAGCTCCATTTACCAGGCTCTTCCTGCCGGCCAGTCTTCAGTCGCATGTCACTCCCTCCTTGGGGACTATGATTATCTCACTTTACAGATGAGGAAACTGAGGCTTTGGGAGGGGAAGAGACTTGCCCAAGGTCACACAGCCAGGGACTGGTGGGGCTGGGTGAGAAACTTAGGTCTGTGTGCTTTGAACCTGGGATCTGGTTTCAAGGTAATCAGATGTTTGGGGATTGGCAGGGGCTTTGCCTGAGAAAAAGGCCAAGAGCCCCAGTGCAAACACTCTGGCCCATGACTGGGGAGATCAGGGTCGGAGGACAGATCACCAGGATCGATGTTCTGTGCTTGGCCCTTAGATTCTAGCTGCCGTGTTTTCCCCATCAGAATGGTTTGCATGGGACATGTTTGGCATATTGAGATTTTTCTTAATCAGCCCGTGTGTCTTAACCGTGACCAGTGTTTTCTCCCCTGAAACAGACCCCTGGTATCTGACCCTGGGGTCAGAGAAGGCAATGATGTCCCCACTTTACTCTCAAGGTCCATGACACTCACCCTCAGGTTGAGCTGGATGTTGTTACCCTTGATGGCAGAAGACAGAAGGTCAAACTGCAGGTGGTCACTGCTCACGGAAATGGGCGCTGCTCGGAGACAAGAAGAAAGCTGTGTGAGGGAGAAGGGCAGGATTGGGTGGGTTGTTTGGGGGCTGCTTTTGGCTGGAGCTGCATTATTGCATGGGGAGGGGTAAGAAAAGAGGGGCAGGAGTAATGATGATGTTGATGATGACAATGACGAAAATGATAATAACTGACATTTATTAAACATATATTGAGTGTTGAACTGTGTTAAACCTTTATTGTGTTAGCTCATCGAATCCTCACAATAACCTTAGGGGGTATAGCTCTTATTCTTACCCCCATTTTACAAATGGGAAAAGTGAGGCTCAGAAAAGTGAAATGATTTGCTCATACTGTGAAAAGATTTGGACCCAGTGATCCTATGTCAGCGTCCTGGTTTGAACAAAACTGACCTATTGCTTGTAACTCTCTACCTCGCCACCAGACTGATCCTATCCAGGCGGGTTTGATCTGTTCTCTGGTTCAAATGTGTTCGCCTTGGGATTCCCTACTTGGCCGCGAGGGGGCGGAGGCGTCTCAGCTGCCCTCGCTGTTGGGCGGAGAATGGGCAGGGCAACGGAGGAGGCTCAGGGGTGGGCAGGGCAGGGAGTAGGTCCTTGGACCCCCCCCTCCCCGCTCCCTGCACCCCCAAGCTTGCCCTGCCCATGGGAAGCAGAGCAGACAGACAGACTTCTGTTCTAGCCACAGTAGCCTTAGGTAGTTTCTTCCCTCCTCAATCTCAGTTTACTCATTTTAAAGTGGGGGTGCAATACAGAAACGTTGGCCTCATAGGTTGTACAGAACCGGAACCTAGTAAAGCTGGCTGGAATCTGAATTACACCACACTTGAAATTTGAAGAATTGGATTTAAGCCTTCCCCATCCCTAACTTCTGTAAACTTGAATAACGGACTTAATGTCTCTGTGCCTCAGTTTGCTGATCTGTGAAGTGGGTAATGATCACTACTTCACAGTGATGTCTGTGGAGCAGCCAGTTACATAAAACACCAAGCACAGTATTTGCTCTATGGGCGCTCAATGCTACTGATTCCATTCTCTTCCCACTCCTCTCTGGTGGCCCCTTTGAATGAGCCACTTCAGATCCCCAAGCAGTAGGCAATAGAATTTACTTCTTCCTTTCAATCCCCGCTCTGAGGCACTTGAGCACAGCAGACACCTGAGGTGGGGGTGGAAGCCTGTGACCTTCCATTTCTGCTACTCTCAGGGAGGGAGAAGTGACCTTCCTGAGCATATATCTGACCTCTCCTTTTGTTCCCTCTTCTCTAAGCCCACAGTCTTTGCTGTATCATTCACTTGTGCATCCATTCAGCACACATTTGAATAAACTTCTATCTGCAGCCAGAGCACCCACTATGTGCCTGGAACTCTCCTATAAACTTTTAATCCTCACTAACAATCCCGAGGTAGGGCTGTATAAGTCCCATTTTACAGATGAGGAAGCTGAGGATAAGGAGGTGGAGCTGGCTTCCCATAGTCACCAGACAAATCAATAGTAGAGCTGGGATTTTAACTCAGATTTATTTGGGTCACCTGCTGGCTCATGTGGAAACCTGCCTATAGTATATAGTAGGTACTGGTGAACTCAGAACTGTGAATTCCTGTCTGCTCATCCCAGGCAGGAATTAACTGGTGCTCTTCCCACCTGCTGCTCAGGCCAGACTGGGGAGGTGCCCCCTCCAGAGCCGCAGCCTGGAGGCTGGCTCAGCAGAAAAGAAAAAAGGCGGGAGAGAGCAGTGCACTCACCCTCCACCAGATGCAGGAGGTCCTCTTGCATGTCCTCAAAGGCCGCCTCGATCACGGGACACAGCTGTAACAGCACAAATGCGGGAACTTCATCAGCAAAGGGGTCCCATAGTGACCCATGCCCAGCCCACGTGGCCTCAGTCCCGCCGCCGTGCTCATGGCCAGCCCGGACTTTGTCCATGGGGTAGAGGACTCAGCCGCACATCTACTCCCCCAGCCAACTCTGCTGCTCAGAGCACCCCACTTCAGTCCCCAGTGAACCTGGGGCCTTTTGTCCCCATCTTGTTCCCAAGAGCCCATGTTTTCCATGGGAAGGAGATGGAGAGGTCCTCCCTTCATTCGCGCATTCATTCAGCACGTCACTACCGAGCTCCTTCTGCATGTCAGACTCAGAGCAGAGGCCAGCAAGACAGGCCGAACCAGACACGAGAAGAATCCCTTTGTGTCCTTTGTGGGTTTCTAGCTCCTCCCAAATTGCCAGCAGCTCTCATCAGGGAGCAACTTTGTCCCCCAGAAGACATCTGGAAATTTCTGGAGACAGATTTAGTCGTCACAGATTGGGAGGTGATGTTATTGGCATCTGGTGGATAGAGGCCAGGGATGCTACTAAACATCCCACGGTGCACAGGACAGCTCCCCACAACAAAGAAGGATCCGGTTTAAATGTCAGTCTTGCCAAGGGTGGGAAACCCTGGCCTAACCTAATCCTGGTCTTACCTGTTCTGTTCAAGATGGGGATAAACATTTACTTGCCTGTGGGCCCCAGAGGAGCTCATTCTCTGCTCCAGGCAGCCCGTTTTCCAGGTACCTGAGATTTTGTCTTGGTGCAATTTCCCCAGTGGATGAACCTTTTGGCTGACCACCCATTGCTACCTCTTAAGAAAGGACATTGCACTTTGAGAAATGTTCACTTTTCCTGCTCCCAGCTGCGTTGCCAACCCAGAACCCAGGAGGACGGAGGACTCGGGTTTAGAGACCCCCAGACTTCACTGCCAAGGGACCACCTGTTTCTCATGGGAAAGGTGTCCCTGGCAACCTTTGCATCTTATCCCAGAGTTCCTCTTCCTTCAGTTTCACCAGTGGTGTCAACTCTGGCTACACATTAGAATCTTCCAGGAGACAAGCCAGAATCCTCTGGGATACTAAGGCCTGACCCAGACCAATTAAATCTGAATCTCTAAGGTGGAGCCCAGGTAGCAGGATCGTTGTCCCTCCCAATCCACAGCGGATACATCCTAAGACCCCCCAATGGATGCCCGAAACCACAGATGGTACCAACCCTAGATATACTATGTTTTTTCCTATATATACATACCTTTCACTTAAAAAAAGCACTTTTCAGTGCTTTCTTTGGTACATCTGGATTGTCAGGATCATGACTCTTGCACTTTGTGGCCATTATTGAGTAAAATAAGGGTTATTTGAACACAAGCACTATAATACCATGGCAATCCATCTGATAACCAGGAGGGTTACTAAATGACCAACAGGCAGGGAGCAAATGTACCATGGGGATGTTGGACAAAGGGATGATTCACATCTGGGGTAGACAGAGCAGAACAGCTCTAGATTTTATCACGACTCTCAGAACAGTGCATAATTTTAAACTTAGGAATGATTATTTCTGGAATTTTCCATTTAATGTTTTTGGATAGTTGACCATGGGTAACAAACTTTGGAAATTGAAACCGCAGATAAGGGAGGCACTACTGATGGGACCCACATATTTACGCTGAAAGGGGCTTTAGCTTTTTCTAGATGGGCTTCTGCCAGATTTCAATATGCCATGCTTTTCCCCTTCACATCAAGTAAAATATTTATATGATCATTATATCAACTCTAGTGAATCATGATGGGAAAACATGATGATTAATAGACAGCCAGTTGTCTCATATTGTTCACTATATGTGGTTTTTAACCCTTAAAAACAGATCTTATGCAAAGAGCATTTTGTAATCCCAAGTCCTTGCCATTTTTTTCTAGTAAATGTAAAATGTAGAAAATGTAAAAATACATTTTAGGCGATTAAAGTATGATGCCAGTTTAAGAATGATTTTGGTGAAGGCTGGCAAGAAATTTCCAGCTGGATCCTACTTTAAGAAACTCCCACTTTTTTTTATTTAAAGAAACGCCCACTTTTAAATAGAAAAAAAACTTTCTGAAAAGAAAAATGACCTCATGTAAGAAAAGCCAAATTTTACAAAATTACTTTCAGATTCCTTTAAGAAGGCTCTCTGGAATGGCTTAATAAAGTATTAAATATGATGTAGCTATTTCATAATTATGAACTGTGTACAATGGCATAGAAAATATATATCACTTAAATAATATAAAGCAGTACTGACAACGAGTGCACCACGTAAACATTTGAGTGCAATATACAGAAGAGGAAATAGCTGCCAAGTTAAGGTAGAAGCATTATGGGTATTTTCTCCCCTAAAGTTGTTTAGTTATTACATCATCGTTTTCTTTCAAAAAAGTTTTATTGTAAAAAACATATTAGTTATATGACAAGGTATTTTGACCCTCAGGAGGCCCATTGCTGTGAACATATCTTGGAATTTATAGAAATCAATGGTCAAAGTGGATGAACCAACTTATAGAGTTTTAACTTACCCGTGGCCTGTAAGGGACGTTTAAAATGAGACTGACTCGTGTTTATTGACTCAGGAAAATAAATCCAACAGGACCTGGTGGATGACAGACCCCTGAAGACCGGCAGCTGGTCTGAGACACTAGGGTGCTAGACTCAGCTTGTACTGGTTTGTGAGGACAAATTGTTAAATTTTCAGGAGTTTCTGAGCTGGTGCCAAGCTGAGGCATTATTAAAAATTAAAGTATATAAACTTACAACTAAATAAACTATACTAAAAGCAAAGTTAATGAAAACTCAAAACTCATTACTTCCTAATTATTTTGTTGAATCTCACTAATCATTTTGTTATATCTTGCTATTATTTCCTGCTCTTGAGGTTATTTATGTCTGTTGTATCCGTGTGGTGGAAATACCACACAGCAGTGTGCTACGGCACACTTCTTCCCAGCCCTGCTCAGTGACATCACATTAGTAGCTTGATATTGGCCTTGGAGGGAGTGGTATACATCAGGGAAATCAGCAAATGCTACACGCATATCTGGGCTCTCTCCCCTCAACTCTCCAGAGTGAATAGTTAACGATTTATCAGCACATCACTGTCCAAAGTCTCCTGCCTGACTTTTGGCAGTTCCATTATCTTGGCCTCAACGATTCATTGCTGAAAGAATGATCCAGACTCGGTTTCCCACTCAAGGTCCCGTAACACCAGCTTGCAGTTCCATCCCAGCCCTTCAGGGGGAGCAATCATTACCGGCCCGTGAGGACCTGATTCCACTCACCTGGCTTTTCACCAGTTTGGGCAGGGCTGGCACCAGGAGTTTCATGACACCGTTGGCTAAGGGGTTGACCATGAAGGAGAGCCTTTCAGAGAAGAGAAAGGGAGAGAGCTTAGGAAAGGTCAGAGATGACCACCCCTCCCTTGTTTTACAGAAGGGGAGACTGAGGCCAGGGGAGAAAGGAACTTGCCAAGGTTACTGGGCCTGTGGGAGACGAGGCTGGGAGTAGACCCTGTCTACTGAGCCAGGTGTGGATAGTAGCAGGGAGTTCTCAGGGAGCAGGGGCCGGGGTTGTCATAGAAATGTGTGCTGGACACCGGGACAACGGCAGTTGGCATTTCTCCCCGTCCCCCTGCTAAGGGGAAGTGGAGGGGAGCACCACGGTTTTGAGCCCCTGCTGTGTGCCCCATACTCTGCTGTGCTGCGTTAGTTACAGCTGTGACCTGAGCTAACCTCTCACGGCAGCTTGAGTGAGGCACGGGGAGGCAGGCCCAGCATCGCCCACACAGGAAACGAGGAGATGCATTTGCCTGACGCCAGAGCAGGGTTTTACCCCTGGCTCTACCCTCGCCTGCCTAGGGGGGGTTTGAGGGGCCCTAGGCAGGTGGCTCCTTTCCACCTTTGAAAGTTTGCTCCACTGCCTGGCACGATGCCTGAAATCCCACCATTACGACTCCACCCTTGATGTCTTGAACTTTCTTTGGCATCACAGGTTCTCTGAAAGGAGCCCCAGATCCAGAGTCAGGAGGGCTGGTCCCTTTCTATCTCTGGGCGTCAGTGCTCTTTATCTGTAAAATGGGGCAAAACCACCTCCTGGCTTCCCTCCAGGCACGGCGGGGGCCCAACGGGAGAGGGCCACACTCACTTTTTCAGCAGGCTGATGCGCAGGCTCCTGCTGTTGTCGGAGCAACTGCTGAGGGTGAGGCCTTTCTTGCTGGTCTCCACGCCGATGGTGGCTTGGACCTCTGTCTCCATGTGAATCTCCACAATGCTCTTGACCAGGGGCCTGGGAGTGACAGTGCCCAATGCTGTGAGCACATCCCAGCTCCAGGCTGGAGTGAAGCTGCTGTCCCTTTCTGTCCTCTGGTGCTCTCACCTCTCTTCTCAGGCTCCTGTGCTGGGTTCTCCTCATCCTCCCCCACCCTGCCCCCCGCCAGCCCACCATTTTATTTCTTTTACCCCAGCATGTCCCAGGCTCTGTTTTTTTAAATTCCTCTCCTGGTTTAAATCCTAAAACAGCTTCCGAATCTATACCCAACTCCTTACTCAGGTATCTTACAGGCTTCTCACATTCAGCATGCACCTCACATTCAGCATGCACAAAATTGATCTGTGCATCTGGCCCAACCTGCTCCTCTCACGATCTTCCCTGTCTTGGTTGCTGGCCACACCGTCCTGCCAGTTGCACAGGCAAAAACCTTGGACTCAGCCTTGACTCCTTAATCTCTCTCCTCCTCTCCCCCCACATTCAATCACCAGGAAATCCTGTTGTCTGCACCTACCTCCAAAATGTATCTAGAATCTGGCCACTACTCACCATCTTCCTGCGCCCCCAACTCCAGTCCAAACTATCATGGTCTCCCTCTGAATTATTTCAGTAGTTTCTGGATGGCCTCCCCGCCTCTGCTCTTGCCTCCATATACAACAACCAGAGTTATTCTTTAAGAATATTAAACATGTCATGTTTCTCCTTTGCTCAGAACCCGCCATGGCTCCCATCTCACTCAGTAGAGGCCAAGTCCTCACTTTGGTCCATAAGGCTCTGTATGATCTGACCTTGGCTGCCTGCTGGCCTCACCTCCCATGACTCTCCTCTCTCCTACCCCATCCCTTTTTGCCATTCTTGCAACAAAGCAAGTGTACTCTTGCCTCAGAGCCTTTGCACTTGCTCTTCCCTCTGCTTAGAACTCTTTTCCAGATACCTGCATAGAGGAAAGCGGGGGATGAGTGGGTGAATCTGCCTGCTATGCCCGACTGAGGGGATACTCACGTGTTGAATCCAGCCACCAGGTCCAGTGGGATATTGACTATCAGCTCCTGGCCGTCAGCAGAGGGTTGCACCTGTAGCTCCATAATGTTGGCTGAGGTGATTTTCAGCCTGGACGGATGCAGGAGAGATGAGATTTATCTGAGCATCGGCCACAAACTCATTCCCCTCAATCTTCTCTGTCTCCCCTGGTGTCCAGCCAGCAGCTGGACCCAAGCCCTATCCACTGGTTCTTCCCCAGCATTGTCTTGCCATATCCCCCCGCCCGCCTCACCCCCCCCCCCCCCCCCCCTGCCTAGCTCCTGCTCTCAACACTCCCATGGCTCCCCATTACTTAAGAGATGAATCCCAGCTTCTTGGGCTGACTTTGTAGACCCTCTGGGAACGAACCCCTCTGACCTCCCAGTCCTTACCTTGGGGTTTGAGCACCAGCCATTCTGGCCACCTCTCACCCCCTATGCCAGTGATTCCCAAAGTGGGCGCTACCGCCCCCTGGTGGGCGCTGCAGCGATGGGGGGGGGGCGGTGATGGCCACAGGTGCATTTGTTTTAACTTTTTTTGTATTACCTTTCTATTCTGAGTTCAATAAATAGTTTCATAATTTCAAACTTCAATGTTTCTAATTTACACCTATCTTTACTATATTTTACGAAAAAGGTAGAAACATTAATACATATATCTTTCTGTTTAATTGCTATTAAAATTTTTAAAAAATTAATTTCCAGGGGGCGCTGAGTAATATTTTTTTCTGGAAAGGGGGCAGTAGGCCAAATAAGTTTGGGAACCACTGCTCTATGCCTTTCCTCAGGCTGGCTCCTCTGCCTGGAATACCATTTCCTTCTTGTCTCCTGGTGAACATGCAGTCAATGGCTCACCTGTCACCGAGACTTAGAAGCATCACCTTCACCCTCTCACCCCAGGTGACCTTCCTCTGGAGTCACCCTTTCAGGCTCCCATGTGACTCTCTTATGGTTATTAACTCATCTGGGAGCTTCTGAGGAAGGGACTTCATTTGTTCCATTCTTTGTGGTCAGACAGAGATTTGATACCGATTGATGCTTATTGACTGACCAGTTAAACGTGCAAAGTGTGTCCTGGGCAGAAGTGTGGGCGGGGAGTTCCCAACTTACCAGATGATGTGGTTCAGGACAGAGTTCACCAGGCTGCCTAGAATGGGGATGCCCCCAGCCGGCTCCTCACGCAGGGTGCTCAGCAGAGGCAGCTCCTGGAGGATCTGGATCGCATCATGGTCCTTCAGCTCCTGTGTCAGCTCTGGAGACAGATTCTGGGGATTAGAGTCCAGCAGGAGGGGCAAGGAGGGGCTCCAGGCTGGGAGAGGGCATCACGCAGGACTACTTGGACCTGGACTCAGGTGAGGGTATGGATGGTTCCATCCTGGCCATCTCTACCATTGATGTGGCCTTGAGCATGATGGCCCAGATCGGGGCGGCGAGGGCATGGGCGGACCATTCCCCCCCCCTGAGCATTGCCAGCCTCTGCATCCCTCCCACCAGCCGGCGGCAAACACTTTTGGAGCCAAGAGGCAGGGAACTCATAGGTCCCCGTTTGGGGCTGTTTTGCTGCCTAAAACACAATTCTCTGGCATCCACATTCTATGGGTCTGTTGTCCAAACAGTATCGAGTGCTGAGCAGAGAAAGGAGGAGGTCGGGTCAGGGGCCTGGGAGCCAGGAGCCCTGGGTTCTGTCCATTTGGCTTGTGTGCAGAGCGGGTCAGAGGTGCCGGAGAGCTGGTGCTGGAGAGCCCAGTGACTGACGGGAATTGGTGTATAAACACCCTGCTCCCTCAGCCCTCAGGCGGGATGACTCAGGTGTATGTGCGCCCCACTGCGCCCCAGAGTCCCTGTGTGTTATTGCCCCTCGGCAACAAAACCACCCTTTTAGCCTGCTCTGTGATGATGGAGATGGGCCCTGTAAGTGGTCCTCCTTTGCTGCTGGTGCGACGTTAAGCCCCGTCAGTAGAGGCTCTGGAGGGCCTTGCAGCAGCAAGTGCTCCCCCTCCCGGCCCTGCTGTGCTCCTCTCGCAGGCTCCTGCGGGGTCCAGGCTCGAGTTCAGCAAGACTGTGGGCCCCAGCTCCTGTCCAGGAAGTTTCCTGAGAAGGCTTCCCAGTGAACCAACAGCAACCGCCTTCCTGCTGGTTGCCATGGTTGCTCATATCCAAGCTCCTCTGGCTGGCACTGTGCTTGCGATTCACCGTATGGGCCCAGGACACCTCTGCCTGCCCCCTCAGCACCCAGCACACTCTGCCCCTGTCCCTACTCTGGGATCCTTGGGGGAAGCTTCCCAGAGAATTCCATCGGCTCCTCGCAGTCAGGTCTCTGCCCGCTGCCAGCCTGCCAGCTGTGCAGCCGCTCTGACCCGGACAACTGGACAGATGTCCCCACCATCCCGTGGGCTTCAACCTCAGTCCTCCCAGGAGGTCAGGGAGGATTCTCCCCTCCAAGTTTATTCTGTCCCTGGATTAACCTCTCCCCCTTCCCCAATCCTCTTTGGAGTTTTTATTTCCTTTCTTAGCCAATGGCCCATGACTCCGACCCCCTGCTCATAATTCTTTATACAAACTCGTGTGTCAGGCTTACCATGCGGTTTCTGTCTCCTGACTGGTCCTAACCAACACAGCTGCCCAGTAGGACTGCGCTCCAGCTCCCAGTGGCAACTGGCCCGCTCTTTCCTGCGGGTGTTTTTTGAGAACACCTCTGAGGCCAACCACTCACCAACAACTCCTTAACTCAGATTCTGCTTCGGGGGACCTACACCATGGTTGCCATGGTTGCTCATGTCCAAGCTCCTTCTGGCTGGCACTGTGCTTGCGATTCAAGGTATGTGCCCAGGGCACCTCTGCCTGCCCCCTCAGCACCCAGCTCTCTCTGCCCCTGTCCCTACTGTGGATCCCTCCTCCGGCTGCAGCAGCTGTGGCCCTGCAGGACCCGGTCCCGCGCCTGTCCATCCAGCCCAGCCCAGGTCCAGAGCATGCAGAGGGCCGGCCTCTAAGTGTTTAGATGGATTTCCAGAGCCAACTGGTTATCACGTGCTCCGGGCACAGCAGTTTGGAGCGATGGTTTTCAACCAGGGCGCTTCTGTTCCCGAAGAGACAGAATGTCTAGAGACATTTTTGGCTGTTAGCACTGGGCTGAGGATGCGGCTAAGCATCTAGATGCACAGGACAGACTCCCACAGTGAAGCGTTACTTGGCTCATAAGGTCAGAAGAGCTGACGTCGAGAAACTAGACCAGAGAGTTTGCCAAGTTCTTGTCAATCCCTGTCCTATTGGACAGTCCCAGCAACCCGGGGAGGCAGGCCTTCCTGTTTGTTTCCAAAGGACAAAGCCCAGGCTCTGGAAGGTTCCCGGGCCGCAGAGCTGGAGGTGAGAAAGCTGTGCCTGGGATCCAGGCCATAGGGTTTGCAGCTGAGGGTCTCCTCTCTGGGGCCTGGTTGGTCACTGACTCAGACTCTGAGGAGGTGCTTTGCCAGTGGGTTTTAGGCGAGAGCATGCATCGTCACACTCAGGGCCGACCCCCCTCTACAGGCTGCGGAACCTCAGAGTGGTCAGTTTTGGAATCATGGCATTTAAGAGGGTTTCTTGGAATCATGGACTCTTGGGATCACAGACACTTTCAGCCTTTACAATTTACCCACTGGAGTCTCATCTAGACCTGGGTCCCAACTGTGTCTTGCACACCCCCAGTCATGGGCAGCTCCCTCCCTCCTGTGCAGAGCTGCTCCACCTGCCCCATTGCATTATGGTGCTGAAGCCTGGGCGGCCAAGACTTACTTTCTCTGATGATTTCTGGGCCGAGGAGGAGGACTGCAGGAGGATTGAGGGTGGCTCCGACCAAGGTGGCTGCCAGCAAACCACAGAGGAGGGTGAAGGTCCTTGAACTGGCCATCTTCCTGGGGGCCAGGGAGCAGCAGGTGGCAGATGTGAGAACCTGGGGTGTGCATAAAGGACCCTGTTAGCCAGGCAGAGGCCAAGGGCAGGTCCTCCACGCCTGGTGACTTGGGCATGGATTCCAGCAGAGGCTGTTTAGTGAAGTGATTAGGAATAGCGTGAGCTCTTAGAGACACTTGCAATAATGATTCAACACCTGCCTCCCTGACCAGGCCATGAGCTCTGGGAGGGAGCATTGGTCTGCCTGCTCCCCATTGTACCCCCAGCACCCAACACAGTGCCTGGCACACAATGGGTGTTTAATAAACAAATGGTTGCTGAATAAATGAATGACCTTTGGGAGCCCTGGAAGAACAGGGAATCTAAGCCTGCCAAACTTAAAAGGTCTAGGTCAGGGGTCCTCAAACTACGGCCCGCGGTCCACATGCAAATACAAATATTGTATTTGTTCCCATATTGTTTTTTTACTTCAAAATAAGATATGTGCAGTGTGCATAGGAATTTTTTCATAGTTTTATTTTTAAACGATAGTCCGGCCCTCCAACGGTCTGAGGGACAGTGAACTGGCCCCCTGTTTAAAAAGTTTGAGGACCCCTGGTCTAGGCCATGGGGACCCCTGTGGAGTCACAGGATCCCCCATCCCTGTGTGCCAGGAAGCCGCAGGGTAGAGGAGAAATATGGGCATCAGAGTCAGACAGACCTGAGTTGGTGTGTGACCTTGGGCAAGGGACTTACCCTCTCTGAGTCTCTGTTTTCTCATCTATAGAATAAGGGATACTAATAATACTTACATCACAAGGTTGCTGGGAGGATTAAATGAAATCATCCATTTCTGGCCTGGCACGCTATAAGAGCTCCATGAATATTAGCTGTTGTTATGAGTACAACAGTTATTATTACTAATCCTGGGCTCAGAAAGAATCACCTTGCAGTTAAAGCGAGAAAACAGATAAGATGCCCTGCACTCTGCTCTTTTGCCCAGGAAGTTTCTTTTAAGCATCGTAGCTCTATTTTCCCTCCTTTGTCTTTGCACGTCACTCTGTTCTCTGATCAGAGACACTCAGAGAACCAATAGGATGGTAGCATCTATTTTGTGGAAAAGTGTCTCCTCCCTAAATCCCAGCACCGTACACACACACACACACACACACACACACACACACACACACCACATCATATCTCACCTCCTGGCATTTGCTTATGTGATTCCCTTTGCATGAGATGCCTTTCTCCAACCAACTTTTACTCAGTTCTCACCTGACATGTCACCACTTCCTGGAAGCCTTCCCTGACTGCCCCCTCCCACCACCACCATACCCCTGGGATTTCCTGAACACAGCACATACTGCATTGGCCTATATTAGGAGGGCCAGGACTGTCTGATACTTCTTGCTTGTCTCCAGAATCACCCAAACCCAGGGCTGGACACAGAGCAATTGGTGTGTACAGAATGGGTTTACGTCATCCAGATAAAGCCAGGGAAAGACTCAGCCATTCTCACTCCTCAGGACCATTCTCTGGTCTTCTGGGTAAGGGAGCTGGGCACCTCTCTACCCCCTCAGAGGGTCTTAGTTGACAGAGGGACCTTACCTGAGGACCAAGACTCCCTCCTGCTTCTGACCTGACCCCAATAGGTGTCTCCAGCTCAGAACCTCCCTGGTGCCCTAGGCTTTCAGCCCCTTCCCCACACTTTTACCTGGACACACCGGCGTCCTCAGCCTCCTCCTCACCTGGGCAGTGGGTCTGGAAGTCCAGCCTTATATCCTGCATACTCTGGGCTAAGCAGTTACCCTTTGCATTTGGGCTGAGACTACAGAGTGGGCCAAGGTGTCCAAGGAAAATATTTGTGGCTTCTGTTGAACCACATCTTTGCCTGGAGCAGCCCCATGACTCCAGCTTCCTGAGGTTTGGAGAAAGGTCTTGGGCTGTCATGAAGGGTGGGCTGGGTGCTGGGGCACATGGCAGGCACTTGGACCAGGCACATTGTAGCTATGTTTGCTAATGCGCCAAAGACCTCCAGCTCCTAAAGGTCCCTGCATATCCCTTGGGCACATCCCCCGTTGGGCACATCTCCAGAGAGGCAAGCAGCCCCTCCTGGGCTTCCCAGATGGTCATGCCTGCTGCCTATGAACAATGCCTCTCTGTGGGAGGCCTGAGCTCAGTGTCAGGGCCTGGGCCCGCATCAGCTCCTGCTTCCTGCCCCTCGGTCCCACACATTCCCTGGGTCAGCAAGCATGACTGTGCCTCTATAGGCCTGGCACACTTTGGAACCCACGGGTTGCCACGGCCGTGCCCTCAATATTGCTCAGTTCCCTTCAGACTGCTGAGGGCCTCTTTATCCCGGCCTCACCCCTTCCCAGCTCCCAGGCCTTTGATTGTGCTGTGTCCTCTTCCTGGAATGCCACGCCTCATCCCCCTGACAATCCGTCTTGCCCTGTGTGGGCCGCAGAGCAGGGGAAGCCTTTGGAGTTTCACAGACGTGGTTCAACGTCTGCTCCTGGGCTGGCCAGCTGTGCGGCTGTGGGAAGATGACTTCTCTCTGAGCCTCTCTTTCCTCAGCTGTAAAATGGAACTCTTTTGAGGGTCACATAAGACAATGTGGAATACTTGGAACATCAGAGAATTCAGTAAATGGTGAAGGCTATTATTACTGTTGAAATAATATCACTGACCTTCAAGACCCAATTCAGAAAGCAGGATCTGCATAAAGTGGCCTGTCCTCAGCTCTAGCTACACCTGGAATCCCTTTGCCTTCCTGGGAGCCCCCAAAGTACTAACTACTTACTCTCTTGGGGCTTGGATTCCCCTTTGCCTTGAGAGATGTTCATTTTATCCATCCATCCATCCATCCATCATTCATTCACTTACTCATCCCAATCTCCTCGCCAGTCTCTCTCTTCCCTCTCTTAGTCCCCCTACCAAATTCCAATTTCCATCCAACAACCTGAGTTAAATTTTAAATATATTCCTCAGACCTTTCACTCTCCTGTTTATTAACCCTCTCCCACCCCAGGCCTCTGCAGTTCTTGCATGAAAATCCAAACTCTGGGAGGCCCCACATGGTTGGCTGCTGTCCACCTCTCAGCCCTCATCTCTCATCACTTTGCCTCTGTCTCCTCTCATTCCTAGCTCAGGGTCTTGGCACGTGCTGAGCCTTTCCCAGGAGTGCTCATTTCCTAGCTTTCCCCTGGCTGGCTCCTTCTCCTTCACCAAGTTTCAGCTTCAGTGTCCCTCCTTGGAAAGGCCTTTACTGGCCACTGTGTCTAAATTAAAGCTCTCTCTCTCTCTCACTGCCCACTCATGGGTGTCTTCAATAGTGTCATCTGAGACACTACAATTCCACAGATGCTGTATACCAGTGGTCAGCAAACTGCGGCTCTCGAGCCACATGCGGCTCTTTGGCCCCTTCAGTGTGGCTCTTCCACAAAATACCACATGTGGGCACACACGTACAATGTGATTGAAACTTCGTGGCCCATGCGCAGAAGTCGGTATTTTGTGGAAGAGCCACACTCAAGGGGCCAAAGAGCCACATGTGGCTCGTGAGCCGCAGTTTGCCGACCACTGCTGTATACCAAGGAAGGGGCCAGACCACAATGGAAGCAGGTAGCCAAGAACTGGCTGCATAGCTCTTCAGTCCCTCATGCGGGAGCTCCTCACCCGGATCAAGGTGATAAAAAGGTCAAGAGGGAAAAGGAGACAGCTGTGGTCCCTTTTCTCACTTTCCCAGGGAGGAGAACAAGGGTGTTTGCCCCTAATGCAGGCAGAGTGGGAGTGGGATTTTCAAGGACAATTTAAGGGCTTGAGGGTCCCTGAAGTTGGGACAAGGAATACCCTGGATTCTTTTTCTTGCCTGAGGCAAGGCTGATGAGCTAAAGTTATGGTGGAGAGCCCTAGCCGGTTTGGCTCAGTGGATAGAGAGTCAGACTGCAGAATGAAGGGTCCTGGGTTCGAGTCTGGTCAAGGGCATGTAACTTGGTTGCATGCTGGTTATGGGCTCCTTTCCTGACCCTGGTCAGGGTGTGCACGGGAAGCAACCAATTGATGTGTCACTCTCACATTGATGTTTCTCTCTGTCTCTCCCCATCCCTTCCACTCTCTCTAAAAATAATAAATAAGTGGAAAAATATCCCCGGGTGAGGAGTAACAAAAAAGGAAAAAGTTTTGGCAGAGAGAGCAGCTTCTGTAAGTTGAAAATTATAACTCTTTGCTCCCTCTGGATGGGGTCAAAGCTTGTGTGTGTTTTTCCTGGGGCCCAGTGTGGACCCTGCAGGAGAGAGCTGGTCTGGGGCTAGTTTCCCCTGGGCAGGTGAGGAAAGGGTGTCAGAGGACCGGGGACTGAGGTGGCACGCAGAGTGACTAGTTGGAGAAGCTCTGTTCATATCTGAGGTTACAGCCTGAGAGGCCTGCCAGGAAAGTTTGGTCTCCCCCCAAAGAAGGTGCCATGAGACTCAACTTGAAACATATTTTGGCTTCCCAGAGTGTAGGAGCCACCTATCAGTCAGGGGAAATCTCTCCTGCCCTCTTTCCTCTCGTTCTTGCCAGAGATAGAGGGAAAAGGGGTGTGCGCGAGGGAGCCTGCCCCCCCGCACCCCCGCCCCCCGTCTCTCTATGAGCTGGTCCATGGCAGCCTCTGTTACGGGTGGAGAGAGGGAGTTTGATGTTCAGCTGAAGCTGGTCACTCTGACATAGCTAAGTGGTGGAGTGGGAAAGACCATCTCCTTTCTACAGGCCACCATCCCGAGGCCAGGTCGGAGAAAATAGAGGTGTTATCACCCTCATTTTCCAGAGAAGGAAGGTTCTTGGGGAAGGGGAGTGACCTGCTCAAGGTCCCACAGCCATAAAATGTGGAGCCAGCATCTGGACCCAGCTCTGGCTGACTCTGGAGCATGCTCTGCTCCCCTGTCCAGCCCACCCCATCTCCTCCAGCTGGGATGAGGGGCTTCTTCTGGGAAGTCTGTGGTCCTGAGGAAACCAGAAATGGTTTCTGAGGACATG